TTAATGAACTGTTAGAGTTAAAGCAATCCAAATCGTCGGGTCTCGGTGTTGTACCCATGAAGATACGGAAGGAACTCGCCTGTGGATTGGAAACATCTCTCTCTTTGTTTTTAAATGTATCCATTGAGTCTACATATCTACGTATTGATTGAGTATCTGCACGGGAAAAACACGGCTGTATAAGGGTGGAAATTGGGTCTCTGCGAACAACTACAGACCAGTTAGCCATAATTTTTTTTGTTATATTATGGAAAAAGAAATAAAACGAAGATTAAGGAAGTTCCAGAACCAGCCGTGTGCTTTCCGATTTCCAGCATGCGTTCCCTAGACGCAGGTGCCGTGTGACCAAATTTTTATATACTTATGAAGTTCATTCCGGTGACCCGAACGTTAAGGGTGACCATAGGACGCCACTGTAGTATTCTGTTCTCATCGCCAGGAGAGAATGAAAGGCCAGCGGAATATATGGAATGCAAATTTAAATTCCATGCAGAAACTACTGCCATCCATGTATGGGGACTGTCTGTGTAAGGGTTATCCAGAGGACGGCTGAAGATGGTTCAAGAAGATTTTACTAGATCTGATTGTGTGCTGTTGTCCGGCGAAGGTGCAAAAGATGAATAATCGCCCTGCCTGGTTGACAAGAGTTAAAGAGACCCAACAATGTCGTCAAAATTTCGCAATTATGATTGACATGAAGAGGGAGAGAAAACGGCTGTGATGACTGACTTTGCAGAGGATAAGTTACGCATATTTGCAAAGCAAATTAATATCATAGGAATTTCCCCAAAAACCAGGAGGACCCTTTTCAAAGTCTAAAAGTTGCGTGTTCGAAAAAGAAACGGACAACGAGAACTTTATATCTTCCGAAGCTAAGCAGTTACGTAATTTGGTTTTTACCATGGGTAATCACTATTTGAAGAAAAAATAGGCTTGCGCCTTTGAATTCCCTATTGTCCCATCAAAATCTCAAGAAGTAGAGACAATTTAAAAAAAGTTTTCCATTAGGAAAATGTGTACAGTCACATCGTGCATTGGTGTGCCAAGGTTTATTGGTAACATAGTTCACGTTGTGCCGTAAAAATATGTGTATCAAGTCAGTATTTGAATGTTTCCACAGATTGGGACGTAACAATCGGGTCAGTTAGGTTATTCCACGGGTCCACGACCCAGAAAAATAAGTACTTCCTCACATCTCATCGTCCTTGGGGCACATAAAGTTTGAATGGATGTCCCGGAGATTACATTTAGTGGCGACTTGGAAAAAAGTTGTCATACATGAGAGCGCCGTCCAAGTCACGCACGATACGGAAGGTTTGAGTCAAATTTTCGCATAACTGCCTATAACTCAGAGGATAGAGGTTAAGGTTATTTAGGCGGATCTCCTATGGTAGTACACCTTGGCCGCTTAAGCATTATGTGGCCCACCGCTGCACCCCTTCGAGTACGTTAAAATCATGCAGCACCCACGGTCTCCAGGCTTGAATCGTGTACTCAAGATGTGACTTTATGAAGGTACCAAAGATTTTTAGGTAATAGTCTTCATCAAGAACGGTGAATACCCGGTTGATGATGTACAACATTGAAGTTACGGCTTTAGCCGCCTTACAACATTGTGTGGAAGGCCTGAGGTTGTCTCTCATACAGATGCCTAGATCTTTCTGCCTTTATACTTCTTGGAGTGGGATTCCGTTCAGATAGTAGGATGGCGCATCAGGGACTTGATTTTAATTCATCAGGCTTAGCAGAGTGCATATGCTCGAATTGAAGGACAGGAGCCATTTGCGTGACCAATCATTCAATCAAAAAAGTTTCCTGGATGACACCTCCATCGGCGGCACTCTTGATGACGTACCATATTTTTACATCATCTGTTAACATGGCGCACTCAAAGTCCAATCTCTGTACACAACCGTTAACGAAAAGGAGAAGGAGGGACGGTCCGAGCATTGAACCTTGGGGAACTCCACCCTCGATGATTATCGGCCTTGATCTTTGTCGTCCTATACAAAAAATTGGGATCGACTAACGAGGAACTTCTCAATCCACGTTAGATGTTTGCCTCCGATACCCATCAATCTCAGTTTGTGCAGGAGTCTTTGGTGGGTAACACTGGCGAAGGCAAATCGAAAATCAATAAAGGCCGCAAGTACGAGGTCTTTTGCATCACTTGTCATTGTTCAGCTTTATATCGTATGAAGTAATTTTTTTAACACACGGCTTACTCCTGCGAAAACCATATGGCGCATTGGACAAAAGATTGTTGGTTTCACAATACGCCATCAATTCCTTTTTGATGACCTCCATTACGGTGTAGCATATGGAGGTCAGACTGACGCTTCTGCAGTTGTTCGCATGTGCACGACCATCGCTTTTGTAAATCCGTGTAATGTGGGCTGTTTTCCAATCTATGGTAAGGCTTCCAGTATCGAATGATTGCTGGCACATAATGGACAACGGTTTAGCCAGCTCTGTAGCTAGTTCATGGAGCAGTTTCGCTGGGATCTCACTTGGATCGGGAGATTAGCGCTCCTCAAACTTTTTAGTTCCTTAAAAATCGCTTCTTCTCGAAACAAAATGTCCTGAATAGCCAGCGCTCCCGTGATCTCGTCAGTAGTTGTGATAAAGGCAGTTTCTCTGGTGAAAACCGACGGAAAGAACTCAGAAAAATTTTGGCTTTCTTTTTACGGTCAGCGATCTCGAGACCTTCATCACTTTTCATAACAGGAATCGGGTTCCTGTTACGTGTACTGTTCTTAAGTAGCTGTGTAGAAACTTAAGATTTTTGACTGTTCGATGTAGCAAATCAATCTCAAAGTCTTGTCGTCGTTGGACGACAACCTAATTCCGAGTTCAGATTATATCATATGAAAACACATTTCGAAGTAAAAAGAGAAAGACTGCATGCGGAACTAATAGGTGGTGAAATGATCACGGAGGAATTAAGAGGGGCATAGGATCGATCAAGCGGAATGAGAGCGTTAGTTTGTAGGACTAGTTAGGGCTAACTTAGTTAGGGTAAATCAGACGGAAGATAGCCAAACAATCTTTTGAGTTATTATAAGTATAAATTAGCCATGGTTAATAAGCATGTATGCCTTATGGACATGTTGTCAATATTTTCATGCCTAGGCTTAATGAAACCGTCATAATTTATCAGTGCCTGCTTCTGAGAATGC